TTTTTTTTTTTTTTTTTTATAAAAGATATCTATTGATTTACATATGCAATAAACCTTTTTTTTTTTTTCCAGAGAAGCCAGTTGAATGTTCTCTCTTCTGTACTGTGTATGCTCGCATTAGTTGAAAGCAGCTATCTTGTCTAGGATTATCTTCACGGGCACGAGGGCCTGGGAGCATCTGTTTTTCAGTTTTCTAAAGCCCATTTATTTCTACCCACATTTTATTCCTGTATAACTTGATCATACTAAATAATTAGACACATCCAAAGTTGTCACTGTTAGGAAAAAAAAATGTGAAAGGGGTGATTGCTAGGTAGATGGAGCAAAGACTATGCAGAAATGAATCCTTCTCACAAATGCCTTGATGACCCTTCCCGCAGCTGTCATTTACTCAGATCCCAAAATGTTGACCTGGAAAAGACAGGCACTGGGCTGCTAGAGAAGACCCAACTTTTATTTTTGGTCTTTCAACTTTATTAACAGCATAACTCATCCCTAGCTTTAAAGGTGGCTGCCCCGCCCCTTATTTTTCTTCAGCCCATCTGCTGCCATAGACGTACAGAAGGAACCCCTGGTGATGAGGGTGGGCCCTGAGTATCTTTGATAAATAACAGGGTGACCGCACCACTTCTGCAAGGGACCCATGTACAGCCCTGTCACTAGACAAGGAGTTGTTTCCTTAATAGGTCCCAGTGTGTTTCACACCATGAAAATGAGAACACTGTAAACCAAGGAGATGGCACATGTCTCACTGAACGTACGATTCTGTGTCTATGTTGACGGTGACGACAAAATAATTATAGTTCTTGAAAGAAAAGCCACATAATATTTTAAAAATAGACAAAATGCCAATGGAAATGGAGAGAAGTCCAGCAGACTGGCAAGAGATTAGGTACATACACGAATTTGTTTTATCTTTCATGGACTGAGTAAATAGACTCAGTTTATTTTCTGTGGCTGATAAACAGAAAAAGTGGTTTTATATAATTTAGAGAGAAAGCACTAACCACTAGTAGACCTGTTTATCTCCAAACAGAGCTGGGAGAGAAACTTTTTCTTTAATGTAAGGGCAAAAGATAAATATAAAAAAATACAAATATACAGTAAAATGACAAAAACTGGATCAAACATGTCTATTTTGTGATTTTATTTTCTTTAATGAAAATAAGTGGGGAGGACTTGTCAGACGTAGCAGTGAAGAACCATAATGGAAGAAAAGCTCATTCATAGTAGCTATAGAAACACTGAATCTAGGTGTTAAGGGGAATGTGTAGGACCTGTATAAACATAACTAAACCCTTTTGAGGCAAAACATGGACAAATTGATAAGTGCCACATTCTTGGATAAAAAGACTTGTATTATGAAGAGGGCAATCCTCTGGGTAACCCTGACTCCAATGCAATTCTAATAAATATCAAGACAACACTTTTGTGGGGGAGATGGGGAAAGGTCAAGAGGGGACTTAGCCAAATGACTCTCAAGTACTTTTACTTTGGAGGGTTAAACATGGGAAAATGGCCAGGAAAATTCAAGAGAACACAGCAGACTAGCGCCAGTAGATACTAGAGGCTTTACAGTGCAGCAATAATTATGAGTATTTTACTGGCAAATCAATAGTACAGAAATAAGCCTAAGTCTTATGGGAATGGGAATGGGAACATTTCAGATCAGCAGGGGGAAATAAATCATTCAATCAATAAATGATGCTGGCATAAGTGGCTAGCAATTGTGAAAATTAAAATTTTTAAATAGTGCAATCGAATCTCAACACAATTTCAGATAGTTCAAAGACTTAAATTTAAAAATGGGTTTATTTCTTTTCTTCGTTTAAAGATGAAAACAATCTGTTTGGGTGCAGAAGTGTCGTGAAAAATAAAGTTAATGGCCCTGGCTGGTGTGGCTCAGGTCGCTGGTTCAATTCTGGGTCAGGGCACATGCCCGATTCCCAGTACAGGGCCTGCAGGAGGCAGCCGAGTGGTGTTTCTCTTTCACGCTGATGTTTCTCTCCCTCTGCCTTCCTCTCTAAAACCAATAAAAACATTTAAAATAAAGTTAATGGACAATCGGGGGAAACATTTTCAGTACAGGACAAAGAGCTAATATCCCAATATACATGGAGCTCTTTAGAAATTATTATGAAGGACATGAGTAGCAAAATCGGCAACTGCCATACATAACAACTCAGAGAAGAAACACAGTTCCTAGATATATGAAAAGTACCCAATCTCATTAATAAATGCACAGAGAACAAAGTATTTCACATAGCTCAGCAAAAGAAAGTTTTTAATAGTACTGTGTTAGGAGGGTAGAGGAAAACAAATACACAAATATTATAGCCTACTGACTCCTGATACAGTTTTCTGGGTGTTTTTTTCTTTTTCTTTTATTTTTCCAAAATATTACAGATGTTCCTTTTTCTCCCCAATGACCCATTTCACCCCCTCCCACCCCCCTCCCCTGGTACAGTTTTTTAAAAGGGAAATTGGCCATATTTATTCACATAAAAAATGTTTCCACTATTTAATCCTAAAATTCTACTTCTAGGAATCTATCCCCCACAAATGCTACACATGTCAGCTAAGTTATTTGCCTAAGATTGTTGAAGGTGGCATTATTTATAATAACAGCAAACTGGAAGAACCACAGGTCCATCGCTAGGGGAATGGCTGAGTAAATTACAACACGCACAGTCAGTGCAACGTTCTGCCTCTAAAAGGATGAAGCAAATCTGTAAAAGCTAAGATGGAAAGAGGTCCTATTGTTAAGTCAGAGATTACGAAATAGGTCAGTGCCATTCTGCCCTTGTTTCTCTAAATCTATTTATATAGCTAGGGAAATACTGGGATCATGTATGCAAACCGTTTACAGTGGTTTCCTCTGGGGAGTGGGACTGGCAAGGAAGAAGGAATAGCTCCCTTGTTTCGGATACATCTGTATTATTTTAAATTTATTGAAAAATTATGACTTTTCTAAAATGCAGAGATGGTGGGCTAAGCTTATTTTAGGCTTAGCTACAGAGTAAATCAGCTTTATTAAAACACTAAGCTCCCCAGAGGCAGGACCATGCCTTACTCATCTCTCTGCACTCCAGAGCTAATCAGACTGTTTTGAATATAGTAGGTGTTCAATAAATGTCTTACTGCACTTGACTGGACAAGAGAATGCATCCAACCTGCTGGGCCCACTGTGTGCTGTGAACTGTGTGTGTGAGATGTGTGTGTGGGTGTGTGGAGATGGGGAAGGAAAGATAACAGCAGATTTGTGGCTGTTCAACCTGTTTGCGTTATCATGAATATAAAGAAGCCGGTGTCGACTCCATCAGGCTGAAATGATTACCTAATGGGGAAGTTCTTCTCTTTGGATCACGAGAAACGTCCCTGCGCCCGGAGCACGCCTGGTTCTGGGCCTGTGTGTCTCTGCGGCAGTTGCTAACAAACAATCCCAGGTTGCTACCTTCCAGGCTGTGGGGAAACTGGGTTCCTGCCGGCCGAGTGCGCAGGGAGAGACCAGTGTTTGCTCAAAACACAGAGTTGGTAAGGAAAAAAATTTTTTCCTTCTTAAGCTTACCCTGGAGTGTTTCCAGACAAGGAGAGGACTGCACAGACCAGCGAACAAAACAAGAGATGGAAAGTCTGCTTTCAGACAGATGGGGGAATAGCCAAGAAAGTAAAGCATGAAGCACCTGTATGCACTGAAGGGAGACCAGGCAGCAGACGAAAGAACTGAAATAGGCACATGCTCCTGGGGTGGGGGGGGACAGGGGACACCCAGGCCACTTAATTGCTCTCCCCCACAGATGCCTTTATTGCCCCCCCTTTTAATTATTTATTTTGTTCTTTTTTTAAAATTGTTTTTCAATATCAGTTGACATTCGATATTTGTTTCGGGTGTAACATCTACCTGGCACCACACATAGTTAGCACAATAGCATTGACTCTATTCCCTATGCTGGACTCGGAGAGCTGTGCAGACTGTTTTGCACGTAGTAGGTGTTCACTAAACGTCTTTCTGCACTTGACGGGACAAGAGCATGCCTCCTACCTGCTGTGCCGTGAACTGTGTGTGTGAGATGCCCGCGGGCGTGTGGACAAGAGGAAGGAAAGACAACATAGCAGTCAAGAGAAGAACTTTATATCCCATTACTTTGGTAACTGCCAATTTGCATTTCTTAATCCCATCACCTTTGCACAGGTACCTTTCCCCCCTTCGTGCATCTTCCCTCCTTCTTCCTCCAGACACTGAACCCCGAAAGCAACTCCGGGCTACTGAGGCCACCTGACCCCCGTCCTGGGGGAGGCCTGGGCTCACCGACGGGCACAGAGCAGGTGCGACCCCCACTCCCCGACGGGGCTCCCACCACCTCTTTGACATCCTCCCCACAGACCAAAGGAAACACAAACTTCAAATACTATTCCCTTTTTTATTCTCTTTCACCATTCAGGTTTGTTCACAACATTACAGTAACAGGCGCGAAAGGGAAAATCATCACATTTTTTGAACTCAACCTGTCCAAAGGATAACGTATGAAACCATGCCATTATCTCTGAGGCGGAAGGGCATTCAAAAATGAATGTGAGCTTAGGTTAGAGTGAGACCCATTCCAAGTAAGCCACGTGTAAGGTTCGAGTGGCATAGTGTTTTCATGGCAGTGACTGTACGAAATGCCGGAGTGATGTGGATGATTGGAAATATTCAAACCCTTGAAGGTTCCTGCACGAGCATTTGAATAAAAGCTGCCACCCGGGCATCGTTTCAGTGGCTTTCAATCTCCTGTTTGATCTCAGAAATATAGGGGTGATCTTTGCCGTGAGCGACTTCCATGATTGCAATGGCCTAGGAGAGACGGAGAGACAGATAAGGGGGCGAAGAGTCCGAAGCCCATCCCCTCGCACCTGCTTTAAGGTGCAGGATGCAAACTGGCTTTCAGAGCCTGTGCTCTGCTCCAGTGTTTGACTCAAAAAGGGATAAAAAGGCCCTGGCTGGGTGGCTCGGTCGATTGGAGCGACGTCTCCTACACCAAAAGGTTGTGGGTTCTATTCCTGGTCAGGGCACAGACCTAGGTTGTGGGTTCGAACCTTAGTCTGGGCACATATGGGAGGCAACCAATAGATGTTTCTCTCTCTCTCTTCCTCTCCCCCTTCCTCTCTCTCTAAAATCAATAAAAACACATCCTTGGGCGAGGATTGAAAAAAGAAAAACAAGGACAAGATTATCAAGTAACTAAAGGGTCACTCAGTTTCTACCACTAAGTAAAATATTCTGCAGTAGCTGAAGAAATGACAGAGAAATTGATTGCATGGCATTTTTTGCCCCAATATTCTAAGATTTCAGTAAAAAATGCTTTAGGGATGGACTTATTTGGCTACATGCTCAACCAAGTAAACAGGTAACACTGGATCAGAAAAGTCCACAGTGAACTTGACAGCAAACCTGTTTGATTTTAAGGCTATGTTACTGATCAGTAAGACACGACTAAACAGTTTTTCCTTTCAAAAAGTGCATGCTTTCCTCTTAATATCTATTCTTTAAAAAAAACCAAAACTTAAAACTCAGTGCAGGTTTCATTTGAGGCAGCTAGAGAGAACATATTTGATAAGGTTTCTATAGTGAGAGGGGATATAAAGTGAGAGTTTCCAGTGGCTCCATCGCTTTCCTAGCTGTGTGACCTTGGGCAAATTACTTAACCACTCTGTGCCTCGATTTCCTCTCAGAGTTGTTAATACACATCAAGTGTTTAGAATAGTGCCTGGCATACAGAAAGTATGTATCACATGTCACCTATAAGAATTTATTTTGCTCCTTTACCATATTACAGAGAGAAAAACTTGAATTACTCCCCTTCTCCCAAACAGGGAACTTCTAATGGCCTGTGACTGTGACAGCATTCCTTTCTATTGTACCCTTCTCTTCCTAGATCTCAAACCAGCAGGAGGCAGGCCAAAGAACAGCGCAGGTCTTCAGGGATCACCTGGCTGGTGTTCTTAGGGATCACCTGCTAGATGCCTCCCCTCACCCTCTGCATTCATTTCGTGACTCATGTTCCCTGTTCAGGCCTATTCTATCCTTCTCTGACCTTATACTTAATTATCTGCCAGCCCTTTGCAATTGTGACCTAACTGGTTCATTTCCCCACCAAGTAACTAAGGTGATAGACAGATTCACTGGTTTAAAAATGGAAAACGTTACTCTTAGCTCACACTCCTAGCCTGGCGGGGCCCTGACCCTTCCATGTGGGACGTGGGAGCTCACTCCCATCTTCCCGAATAGTCTACTGGGAAGATTTGGGGAATTTGGAGGACTGGGCATCCCGGCTAGTCGGTGGCCCCAACTTTTACAAATATTCTCTGACAGGAGTAACAGATTGCCCTAAAGATGACATTTTATCTACTGTGGACGTCTATATAAAGGACACGGAGAACTTATTGGTACAATTGCGCTGCTGGAAGGTGAGGGCCAGGGCCCGGCCCCTCTCCCGCGGGCAGCACAGAGCAGCTGTCCAACACCAGGGGTGGGCGGATGCTGCCCAGGGTCCTGCGTGCCATCTCTCTCTCTTTTTCTGAGAATTAAACAAACAACACACAGGTCAGGGTCCTGGCATGTAGCTCACTGACCCAGGGGCCTCTGTCCACTTGCACAGGGCAGGCAGTGTGATCTCCCCGCCATGGGCTGAGCCTGCGATCGTGGTGGCCCCTCTCCTTACAGGAGGCCTGGACGCAGACTCGGCAAAGGCTCAATGACTCCACCCCCGTCTGCTGAACCGCCCCCCCCAACTTCCATAGCCAGAGGGGTCAAGAGCTGGTCGTTCTCCACCACTTGTTACTCAGCCTGTGAGGCAGGAGGGCCGTGCAGGCACAGAGAAGCCTGACCTCCCGTCTGCCGTACCTTCCTCAGGGCCTTCTCTCCCGCAGCTCTGTTTTCCAGGCCCATGTACAGTCTTCCCAGCTTCAACCACATGGAGGCCACGTTGAGGGAGTACAGTGGATAATGCTTACTGGAAAAGGGGAAAAGACAAGAGGCCGCTTTGTTAAAGGCTGCCGAGCAGCCCGCAGGCCTGGCACAGGAAGCCCGTGGCTGCTGAGCTTGCGGTGCCCACTCCATGGCAGCCACGCAGCTCCAAACCCTGGCAGGTCTGGGTGGAGAGTGTGGATGCGTCGACCCTGTCGAACCACCAGGATACACTTTGTTTCTGAAACCACAGGAGAAATCCCATACAAAAATATTTAGAAACAAAGCATTCAATCCTAGTCCCAGATTTTTGTTACAGGTGCACCCAAAGCAGAGCATTGGGAAACCATCCTTTCAGGTAAATTCCCTGTTGTGAAGACATCAGGCCTATCCCCTCATATTAAAAAAACAGTGTACTTAAAAAACTTAAAAATATGCACACACTAATTAATGTCTCAAGACCCCAGCTTTCTATCACACTCTATGATACCAGCTGGTTTAGCAAAACTCTAAGTTCGGAAGTCAGGAGAACGCCTCCTGTTTCTTCTAGAGCATCTTCCTCTATCCAGCAGAGAGCTTTCTGCATATTCAGTGGGCATTCACTGTCTGGTTTTAACTGATGGCCGACTGATGGATGGGGCTTGCCTAGGAAAGAGCCCTCTCCTTGGGAACAGAGACCAGGAGGCAGCTCATGGGCTCTCGAGAGTATGTGTGTTGGTGTGTGTAAGACGTGTTTATTTACAGGCTGGTTTGTACTACCCTCAAAATCCGTCCAAAAGAGACACATTCCGGCTGTATTCCTGGGGACAGTGCCCCCTCCCAAAGGCCAGAGCTGGGGCTCAGTAAGCTCAGGAAGGGTCCAGTACAGCCAGTTCCTGCTGGGAGAGGAACCCTGAGGCTGAGATGACCTCATTCATTCTCATTCTCCCTCCCTCCCACTCTCCCTCCCTCCGGATCTCACAGAGGAAAGTGTGCATGAGACCACAGGAAGAAGGGTAGGCTTTGAGATTATCCCCAAGAGAGCAAATTCTGTTTCTAAGAGCAGGTTTTTAGGAGCTGCTTCCCCTGGGGCTCCCCCTGCTGGCTAATCAGGGCAGTGTGGGGGAAGTAGAGGGCCAGCTTGGCTGTGGAAATTCAGACCAGACACAAATTTAACCGCCCCTGATCTTAGGATGTGAACTGAGGGCTTCTCAAATTCCTGAGAAACACCTGGGGCGCGTCTGGAACACAGGGATTTCAGGTCCAATGCTCAGATTCCGACCCACTCGGTTTTGAGGGGATCCTGTCAATGCATAATATAAATGTGTTTAACAAGCACCCGAGGGATCTGACCTAGGTCATCGCAGCCCTGAAGTGGCTGGTCAGAGCCAGAGGACAATGCCACGGCCTCCATCTATAACCCACGTTAAGGGTTAATAACCTCTCGACAGGAAACTTCCACATGGCTGACAGTTATTAGACCATACGTTAAAACCCAACTTGATTCATCAGACCTAGGCGGGATATGCAATGCCCACAGCCAACCCGATGGTCCCGGTGTTACCCTGTTAGCAAACTAGGCTGCAGTTTAGAAAATCACAAGGGGGGAGAGTGAATAATAATGGAAAAGGAACAAACAGGTGGCTTTTTAATACCGGTCTGAATGAACTACAAGGGGCATAGCACCTGGGTAGGTCCTGGGACCCATCTTACCCCAGCAACCCCTGCCTAACCTCAACCTGCCATCCTGGGCGTCTCTTCCAGATGGTGGAGGGAACAGGCAGGACCCAATGGAACAGCACCCTGCACCTGTACCTCCAGATGTGGGTGCAGAGAAGAGAAAGGTGGTCCGGGAATGTTCCAACATGGGACAGTGAGAAGGCAAAACTGCCCAGGTGCACATTCCAAATCACCAGATTCCATCCCGTGCTAAGAGGGTTGGAACGGCCACTGCAATCACCTGTAGGGCTTAATGATTTTCTGTCCGTATCGCAGGGCTCCTTCCCAGTCCTGCATGTACAAGCAGACGCCCATGGCCTGGTACATCATGTGCAACATGTACACGTTACTGTCCTCAAACACGGAGCTCATCTTCTCCTGGCTGAGCTCGCAGATCTCCAGCAGCTCGCTAGGGGGTGCTCTGGAGTCAAGGAAATGACCGGCGGCCCACAGGCTGGGCGACTTCCCAAGGCAGGCTGGCTTCAAGGAGTAATTGCATCCACTGCACCTGTACCCTCACCCTCTGAAAAATTACAGAAAGCCAACCAAAGTGTAGAAACAAACAGGACAATCTGGAGACCTCAACTGGTAAAACACAGCTAAAGAATTTCAGCCACAGGCAACAGACCCTCAGTTTCGCTGTAAACAATGTTGATTAGAATCACCAATCTTCAGTCTCCTAGTTAAACTGAAACCCTCACCTCGGCTGAGCTGAAGCATTTTTTAAGGAATTAGTCCCCACCCTGGAAAAGTTCTTTCCCATGCTGAGAAATAAACATGACTTTTTCCAATTTCCTTCCATTGGTTTTAGTTCTGCCCTTAGTATGAATCAAATGCCCTTCCAACACCCAAGAAAATGCTTTAATATAGTTATTAAGAATATGGGTTGTGGTGGCCGGCAGACGCGGGGCAGAATCCTGGCTCTGCCTGTTGAGCTGTGTCCCTTGGGCAAATTATCTGGTATCTAAGACTCTGTTTCCATCTAACACAGGGTGAGGACCAGGTTGGCGAGTGTCCTTGTGAGGATCAGGGGAGCAAACATAAGCAAAGCCCTCAGCACTGTGCCCATAGTAAAATATCCCCAAAACGAGTGCCTTCAAGGAACTATTCGGCATAGTTTTAGACAATAACACTTCCACCACATTGAGCTCCTAACCAAACTAGTCAAACAAGGAGAAATAAGGTAAGATCGACATCATAAACTGATGTAGATGACTCCAAGCCATGGAAGGTCAGTGAGTCTCACCCCTGGACCAGGAGACACTCTTCCTTCAACATCCAGCACCTTCAACCCATCCCTCTGCTCCCTCTCCCCTCTCCGCCGCCTGGTGCAGGAACCCCGCCCCCCCAGCTGTAAAGGATATACTTGTAGTGCTTGGCCCTCCGGAACTCCTCGATGACGTTGCGTGCGTACCTGACCATGTCACAGACAGCCTCTGCCTTGGGGGGCTCGTTGAGCTTCCGGATTTTCACCTTGGCCTTATCCTGAGGGAAATGTCCACACGTGCAAGGCGTTACCTCCCATGGAAACCACACTGATGGGGAAACCCCTCAAACAGTACATTCTCCCAGGCAGAGATACAGGCCTGCCTGTTCTAAAGTTAAAAGATAAAGGAAATCAGGTGATGGATCTGACAGAAATCCAATACCATTACCTTTTTACAAAAAAAAAACCCCTAAAATATTTTCTAGACACTCCTCACCTGGGCAGGGCACCTAGGGTACGTTTGCTATGGGCACGTATGTGTGCTCAGACATCCACGAATCCAGAGAATACAGTAAGGAGGGGCGGCACTGACAAAATAATTGGGCCAAAGCCAGAGAAAAATCCGCATATTCTGAACAGGCTGGGAAGCCTGAAAGTCATGCTCAGTAGTGCTTTTCCCTTCCCTGTTTTGAGCAGTCGTTTCTTTTCAAGAACAACTGCTTCTCTCGCTTGTACAGTGTAATGCAAACGTTTTCATGTTTGAACAGGGACCTGGTCCAACTGGATTCCCTCAGACTGTCTCAGTGAGGTGGGTTTAAAGGGTCAGAAACTCCATAAGCAGAGACACCCAAGTCACACAGGGACAGGGGCGCTGGTCTGACAGAGATGTCCCGAGATACGGAGTCCGATCAGCGCCTCCGCCGGGCGCGTCACCAGGGAGCTTACCTTGTCTTTGGTGGTGCACTCCTGGCACTCGCACGTAAAGAAGTAAGAATCTCTCAACCGGTCGTTCCTGTCTTCTGTGGGGTACAGGAGGTCAATGTAGCTGGTAAAGACCTAAGGGGGTCCAAAAAGTGGACGTTGCAGTGCAGTCTGCCACAGGTGAGCTCACTCATCCCTGCCAGTGTTTGTGGTGGTGTCCTTGCAGGGACAGCCACAGAGGACAGCCGCAGTTCAGGGTTGACCCACGTAAACACAGCCAGCCTCAGTGTTGGCCACCTCCTCGCAGGGGAGAGAGGGCTTCTCTTCCCACCTTCCACAGAATCAAGGAACACAGAATCCCTAACACAGGGCGCTGGATCACCAAAAGCACCCCCACCTTCCCCCTCCCCAGAGAGCAAGCTGGCCTCTGTGCCAGGGGCAGATGCTCTCGTCTCATGGACAGAAGCGAAGCCCCACTGGGCAAAGGCTCTACTCGTCCCTGGGACTGGCCCTGGGCTGTCTCTGGCCTCTCTTATTTCACACGCTGGACGACTCATATGCATTACTGATCTGTTCCCCTTTCTGCTTCTATCTGCTGGCAATGAGCAAGAGGCTGGCCTTGCTCGGCAGGCTGGGACAAGTCTGCAGAGGGAGAAAGCAGTCTCTAGGACGCTGGCATTCTGATGCCCTACCCCGCTGGGCTGGGGAACTTGGAAAAGCCTTTGCTTGGGGCTCATCTTGCTTTTTCTGACAGGGTCTGTAACTGAGACTTGGAGCATATGGAGGAGACCGGCATTTAAGTGGCCATTATCTACTCGCTGGGACGGGACTTGCTGCTCACCCCACACCAGCAGGCAAATGTCTGACTGCACAGATGGATATCACAAAGCCGCCAGCGTGCCAGGAGCCTCGGGCACTGGCAGGCAGGCAGGGGGCACTTGTAGGGGCCGCCAAGCTCTCTCCACCCCAGAGGGCAGTAATGGGGACCTCGCAGCCCATCGAGGCCCTGGGGAATGGGATGCTTCCTCTTGGAAGGGCAAGTCACCTCAAAAGCAGTGCCTTCCCCCAAGTGAGGTTACAGCACTTCAGGCTTGTGAGAGCACCCGAGGGCAAACCACCAGGGGCAAGCCCTGCCTGGCCTCAGTGGCAGGAGCCTCCCGCCTCATTTCTCTGAAACGACCGATGGTCACATAGTGCAACAGACGGAAGAGCCCAGAAGATGGCGACAGAGGCCGCTCAGTGTCACTGCTCCTGGCCCAGACGGAGCCAGCCCAGGCCACACACTGCTCCTGTCTCCCCTCAGCCCACAGGAGCTCTTGGCGCCTGGTGACTCCCATTCTCACCGACTGCAATCATCTGTTTTAACCAAAAAGGCATCGGTGGTCTCCACGAGACATCCGGAAACCAAGACACTGCGACCCCCAGGCATGATACCCTCGTTACGGGTTTAGCAAAGGGGAGAAAATCTCAGTTCAGCTCTGGGTTAGCTGACAACTTCCGAGAAACCAAGGCCTTCACCATGTAGCACACTAACCATTACGTTTCATATTTAAAAGCTAGACATGCACCTTAAAACAGTATGAAAGATTATTAAACCGAAATCTAATCCAAAGTGTATCATTACAATGCCTAGAACCTCATTTTTTATTATTTTCCTAAGAAAGATAGCTTGTATCTAGCGACTTGCTAGGCCAGTGGGAAGGGAAAGGGCACAACCGAGCAGCGGCCCAGCATCTGGTTCTCTCCATGTCCCTCTGTGAAGGAGGGAGCTACCAGTGCGTCCTGGCCACAGGCCACCTCGACTGCCCTATCGGTGCGTGCACAGCTGGCTACCTGAACTACATCCCTAAAGAGTGAACCCTCCCAAGTTCAGATGAAGACTTGAGAGGACTGGAAGGGCTGATGTGTCATTTGGAGTTGTAACTCTCTCTCTCTTTTTTTTAATCTTCATTTGAGGGATATGTTTATTGACTTTAGAGAGAGGGGGAGTGAGAGAGGGGAGAGAGAGAGAAACATTGATGTGAGAGAGAAACATCCATCAGTTGTCTCCCATGTGTGCCCTAACTGGGGGATCGAACCCAAAACACTTTTTGGTTTATGCAATGATGTCCCAACCAACTGAGCCACCCAGCCAGGGCTGGAGCTGTAACTCTTTAGCTACTGCTGGGCTGCTTTTCTTCTTTCAAATAACAATGCTTTTGGCCTTTTGTGGGGAGAAAAAGAGGCCAAGCTTCACTGATTAAAAAAATAAAGCTCAAACTCCATTGCTTGGCAATGGGAACACGGACTCTAAGGCAATCTGAGATTTCATTCTGCTCACCTCAGCAGTCTCCTTTCTCAATAAATCTCTATATATCTCTGTGAGGGACTTCACTCAAATTTATTCTTTCCTGTTTTCTCCTGGATGGAAATGGTGAGCACCAAATGGAAGCCAAGCGCGTGGGACTCCAAGCCACAGGTCACAGATCTGAACATTAACCCTGGGACACCTGAGGACGGATACGGTGGAACTGCCAGGATCACGCACAGCCCGTCTCATCCAGTGATTTCTCTACCCTTTCAGAACAGCTGTCTGGTGCTCACTGCCCCAGCCGCCCACGGCCACGCACTCACCTCCTCTCCGGGGCTGATTTCCTGGACGGCTCTGACCTCCGCCAGGGTCCCCTTGTAGGTCACAATGACATTGGGGCAGCAACTATGGTTCATCAATGCAACGCTGTCAACCAGAAGAGAAAACCTGATTTGTTCAGTAAGGCAGACAGTCTAGGGAATCCGCGGCTACTTACTGGCCAAGTCACAGCAACTCGGTCTTTGCAGGACATTAACCAAAAGAAATCTAATAGCTGGCCATCATATTCTAAGAGGTTTTTCTGCATGCATCGGTCACCTTAAACTTTCACAATATTGAAAACTGAAATGTGCCATTCAAAACAGCGGTATCTAAGCCCGAAACAAAAAAACACGTGATAAAACCGGCAACGACAACAAATCCCACAAAACTCCTCCTTCTTAGGGGCAAGACTCACAGCCCAGCACCTGCCGCTCCTCCCTGTACACTGTTTGAGACAAACGGTGGTCATCCCCAAGCCTCTTTTTCTATTAGTGGATTATTTCTAACATGTTTTCTTCAGATGTTGAGAAATCGCCTCCTAAGTGAGGGCTTGTGATCCCCCGCGAGACCCGGAGAAGCCTATTTGAGTCTCCGCACCTCAATTTCCTCACCTGGGAAATTGGGACGCGCTGCACCTGCTGCTCGCTGTCTGCTTTTCAGGGACGGCGGGGACAGAGGCTCGCCCACGCGAGGGGCTTTGAGCTTTCTGATTATATCAGGGTCAAAGTTCTGAGAACAGAAATTTCTAAACTACGGGGGGGAAAATGCTTGATCTCTGAAAATGCCGCCTTTGAAATCACAATGCCGAACTGATTTCAGTCCAAAGGGATTTTTTTTTCCCCCCAATTAAAACTGCCTGGAAACCGGGGCCCATGTGGGCACTCACATCCCCACGTATCACTGCTCCGGCGGCCACTGCCACTTGCCAGAACCCTCAGCAATCAAAACCCCTCTCCCATTTGCCCCAAGAATACGAAAAGAGCAAAGGGGGCCGGGAGCCTGAGGAGGATGAGCCGCCCAGGGCTTGCTGAGGACAAGGGGGGCAGCCCTCCCCCCCGCCAGTTTCTCGGGGGTCCGAGTGAAGTCTGTGGCTGCCTGGAGCCTGGGACAGCGCACGGCAGCTTCCCTGTCTTGTGCTTGGGGCGGGTCACCTCCACCACGCATTGCAGTCCACGCAGCTTACTAGCAAGTGGTCCACAGGGAATCGGGCCCTGGGAAACTTGATAAACAAATGTGCCAAAAATCGTCAGTATTGCAAAAGCAGAGTTCTAGAACCATCTTGCAGAAAAAGTAATAAAAGTGTTCCATTTCACGACAGGCGCCTACAACTGCTTCGTCCTAAAGCCAAAGGCCCCTGTAGCGAATATTAAGCAATGTCACTTTAGACGGAATAATCTACGATGTGGATTAATTCAGACGGGGATGGAGGAAGGCTCCTTCGCGCCATGTGTGAAGCCAGGGCTTGATTTCAGGGGACAAGCATTTTGAAAACACTCGTTCCATCAAAAAGACCACGGCAAAGCCATTCTCGGCAATCCGTTGAAGTCAGAGCTCCGAAGATCTCCACTTGTCCACTGGCTAGCCTTTCTCGAATTCCTTGAGTATTCCTGAAGGAAGCAAGACTCCTACAGTTCTTTGAAATTTCCCCCAGTTCACTGCTTTAGTTCAAGCTCTCTCCAAACTGCGCTGTTTCTATACTGGTCTTTTTCAGACAGGACAGATGGAGAAGCAGGTCACATATTCTCCACGTAAGCCTATGGCCAATTGTTGGTTGGCAATTAACATTTCACCCTGAGTGCAAGAAACCCAGAGATTTCCATAACCACGGATATGCAAAAACGCCCGTTTCTCAGCAGGGCACACTATAAAACACTCCTTAATAACAGCTCCGGACCTGGTGGGACTTAACAAGTAACTGTGTTCTTAACAACTACCTTCAGATCCTTAAACGCAGGGGAAATATTTTCAAATCTGGCAGAATTAAAAGGTGCCTTAATTCACTCGGAGTTTCATGTCTGCCACATGCAGTTAGGAGGGTATTTTTAAACAAAAAGAATCAAATTAGTGTTAAGTAAAAAGAAAGGAAAGAAATGAAGCCAAACTCAGCCTACTCGGGAAATATTGCTGATCCCAGATGCGAAAGTTCTTCATCTTCTATTGTGAAGCCGTTACAGTTCACCTGCGGGGAGAAAGGGGCGAAAGGAGACAAAGGAGCAAGCTAAATGTTCTGTCTGCACAGAAATCATTTCTTTAATTTCTGACCTTTAACAAATGAACTAGGAAGGTGTTCTGGTTTAGTGATTTTTAAGACCTTCTTTTGGCCAAGGTATCCTTTGTTCAAATACAATTTACCTATCAGCTTCATGTATAAACAAATAAAAACAGAACTGTCAGGGGGAAGCACCCTCAGTCTGTCCTGCCTACCCACCTATACACGGGAGCCAAAGGGCACAGACCACTTGAGGTTCAAGTGCTAAAGTTTGCACATCTGAATGGGAGTTCGTATTCCTGGAGTCTAATCCCATCATGCCACAGATCTGTAGTGTGATCCTGAGACCATCTCTTGAGTCCTGTGTCCTTGATTTTCTCCCATTAAAAAAAAAAAGTCACTTAACTCGTTACCCATGTCCTGCTGTGAGGTGGTAAACAGGACAGCCTTATATAGCTGATCTAACTGCTGTCCACCCCGAGAGGCAGAGGGGCCTGACGCTGAGGAGCTGGCACCTTCCTTTCATGGCCGGTCAATTCAACCACTGGTCACTTTCTCATGCTTGAAACGAGATGTTACACTGAAAAATGCCAAGGGCAACTCTCACCATTCTGAAGTCTAACCTAGAGCTTGCAGAATAAAAATGAGGGACACATCCCCAATTTTACGTTGTTCCATACTTTCATTCTTTTCATGGATATTCATTGAGAACTCACGTGCTGGGAACTGTGCACGTGGTATGAACACCCTAAAATCTGTGCCCTCAAGAAGCGTCCAGCCTATTGGGAGACAGTGCAATGGGTGTTTTTATTTGTATCTAGTTTCAGAGCTGGAAGGGGACTCAGTCTCTTTACTTGTCAGATGATGAAACTGAGGTCAGAGAGGAGCAGTGACTAGTCCAATGCCTGCAGCAAAGGCCCTGCTCCTCCCAGGCCACTAGGAAGGTATCTGTGAGGCACATGTGCTGAAGGATTTCACCCGTGGGCTGGGACCAGGCTCTTCCACACAGGAGACACCGCGCTGGTACATTTCAGGCCAAAGAATGGGCTTTTGAAAACTAGCATTTGAGGAGCTTTTATTCAGGGCAAGGCACTATGCTAGGTGCTACATATTTAACTCTCTTATGTCTGCAATACTATTTTGGCATAACCCATTTTACAGATGTGGAAACTTGAGGCTCAGAGAGGTCAATGATTCAAGGCCACATAAGTAGCAAGTGGGACAATAAGGAGTCAGAATTCACACTAGACATTCTGACAGCTTTGCTGTCAGAAACGCAAAAGTGTTTCTTTACACTGCACCGAGTTTCTTCAAAAATCGTTCTGATCTATGAACGTTAATGTGGCGATTTTACTTAAAATTAAAAGGCCAATGTCAAAGGCTTGGGAATCTTGCTACACAGAGAAGTAAAGGCTATGATGGGTTTGACTTACAGTTTTTACAATTCAACATATTTACAATCAGAATTTACAATTTTCAACATAAAAAGAGATGACTGAGGGTTAGTAGAATAATACATAGCCTTTGAAATACTGAGGTGTTGGGCATTTCTATGTAGAAGACTCAGCATACCATCTTTTTGTGCCAACTTCAAGTATCCTGACCTATTCTGTCATCAGGACATTAACCTATTACCATTAAGCAATGACCATCAGTCAACATTGGGTAAGAGTTTAATCAGGACTTTCATTCACTCAACAAAGTTTACTGGAGCATGAACTATGTGTCCTCCAGCTTCGTAAGTACTGAGTGACCTATGTACAGTCTCAGACTGGATACCAACATGCCTCGGCCATGTCTGGGACCCACAAAGCAACAGCAAATGTTTGCAGAATGAAGGAGAGAATCTAGCAACAATTTTCAAACTGACCTAGGGACAGACTAACTCTGCGGGATGGGACACTTGCTCCTTTGCTTCTCAGTCTCTCCCTCTGCATGGAGCTCAAGTCTGACTCCAAATGCCTTCAGGCTCGAATGTTCGAGGACCACTGGTGGCTCTCTTCCCTCTGCCCTCCTCTGACTGTGCAAGAGCGAGTGTTTCTTCATCAGCAAAGGTTCCTATAAGCAGTGTCATCACTGTTCCTTTCTCGGAGGCGGTGATGGTGTTTAAGCCAAATTGCACAGCAATTTGCCTGTCAGCTTTCCCTGCCTTCTGAAATATCCCCAGAGAAGAAAAATGAACTTGGGTGTTAAGGAAGATACATGGGCCGCAGTCCCTTTTTTCAAGTCAAATCAAGCGTAAGTGCCTTGCTAGAGCTATTCTCATAATTAGCATTTAGACTAGATGTAGGCTGCACACCAAAAATACATTTCCCGACCATGCATATGTTCCCAGCGATTAAAGTGCACCTCAGTGCTACGGAAGGAGTGCAGTCACCTTCCGCTGCCAGCTGCGGCTGGGCCACAACTTAACCCACTAGGGCCTCCCGTGAACCCGAGATGAGCAGGCTCAGAGGCTGGGACAGCGGCCAGGCAGCTGGGGGCCGAGAGGCAGGACTGGAGTGTGGGGTGAGGCTGGGACAGCACTTTTCGCTTTTGCTTTAGAGTTTTCTTCGGGGATACTGAATGTCCCTTTTCAAATGTACATATGAAATATATATGTGTGTGTGTGTGTTTGTATAAGTGTATTTGTGTGTACACACAGAATCTCAGAATGGATATTATAATTTGATAAACATAAAATATATAAAGGAATTAATTATCTACGGTTATACATGTGTGAAAAAAGTTCTCTCTCTCTCTCTCGTTTTAAAGAGAACCCCACGATAAAATTGCATGCCCATCTCTGCCCGTAATCTCTGATCGCTTCCTGAGGATGCATTCCTGGAAATGTAATTACTAGGGCAAAGGGTACCTAGGTGATGCTCATCCTGTTTGAAGAATAATGTGTGAGTTCCACCCAAGCTCCTTTCTGTATCTGGAGCCTGAGGGTTCTGGCAGGAATGCAGCTTCTTGCACCATAAAGCAGTATTTCGGCATTTCTCCCTCTGGAAAGGTCACCTTCATTGACATATTCAGCTCGCAGGGGAAAACGCAAGCATATTAGGGAGAGAAATCCGGTCTAGCAGGTGTGCCAGGAAGAGCCACCCTCTCAATAACAGGAAGCCGAGGGTGCCGGAGGCACTTTCTTCTCTGTTGTACCTGAGCCGTAGCCTTAGCCTTTCCACACGGCTGGGTCCCAGTTCTCTAATGTTGCTCTTATCTAGAAACTTCTATAATTTTGCATTATATCTGGTTTGGGTAAACCTGGGCTTCTCTAGAGATTTCTGACAAGACATCCTGCACCCGGACCCACTGGGGCTCCCCTCTGTGGGGACATCTGTACTTGCCTCTGCTTTATCACACAGTGTTAAAGGAATGAAAAAAACCACTGCTATCAGAATGGAAGGTTTAAGAGAAGAAAAGTAAAATTTCATGCGGGAACCTCTTTTCTTGTCAAAGAGGTTACTGTCTGCCACTGTACCAGGCACTGGCAACGCCTCTGTTTTCATAAACTCTTCCTGTGACGAGAGGCAGAGGGAGGCTGAATTTCCTGTGCTCCACCCATCAAGCCGAGGGCCAGCACAGGGAGGACCCTGACGTGCTCAAGGTCACCTAGCAAGGCCATGCCAAGCAGGGTCCAACCGGTCAAGAGCCTTGTCCTCATAGATGCCATCATTCTACTTCTGCTCACGTTCACCGAGTATGTGCTGGGGACAGGGGCTGGGGTGGGGAAAGCTACACCCGGCGTCACCCGATGCTGCATCCTTACCTGTGCAAAGAGTGCTACCAGGCTCTCGTTGTCGGGGAATTCGAGGTGCTTGGAGTAAAAGTGATGGAGGGCAGAAATGTCACTCTGAATCAAATCCTTCTTCTCATTGTCTAATTTATCCAGATCTGTGGATAAACAAACCATTATTCAGCACGTAGAGAACTGGATTTCTAGCTACACTCTTTTCTTACTGTAAATGGCATGGAAGGGAGGGGACAAATATGTGGAGCCCCATAAAATATTCTTCCTCATCACGCGGTCTAACTGATGAACCCAAGGGGAGAAAGGCATGCAAATCATTCTTCTCTTCCTCTGACAACCGGAGGTCACCCAGGACACGAAATTTCAACTGACCATTAGCCATGGGGTCAGGGATGTGTGGCAGTGACCAGTAACCAGCCTCAGTCCAGCCAAGGACCCTTCAGGTGGCCCTGGAATCTGTGTCAGGGTCAAGAAGCTGGAGAGCCCCTGATTTAAAGAGTTTCAGTAAGGACATCAGCTGTTTACAGGACTGCAATTCAGCAAAGATCCAAAAATATTCAGCAGGCCAGGAGAGCCCACAGCAGATAGCTCGGGATGCAGTAACTCATCCCTCAAGTTCCTACTTCCCCTTAATTATTTCCTGATAATCCTGTCGACTCAGAAAAATGACTTGGAGTCTTTTTTCAAAATAGCACATAAGTCAAAATAAAAGCTATTTATTATAAAATCACCACCAACACTAAGATAAGAGAGCACGCCCTGTCTTCAGTCCTGCCTCGTCCATGTTCAATGTGGACAGAAAGTAACTGCTCAGCTGGTTCCAGAGACACTTACGTGATTCAAACTCCTTCACGGCTAACAATTTCTCTGAAGGTGTTCTCTCTGGGTGCCTTTCCTAGTGATCGGGGAAGAAATCACACAGATATGGATTTTAACAACCAGGGCAAAATGCCTTTCGCTTTTACATTCACATGAACAAAACGCAACAACTCTCCATGAAGCAGAGAAAGTGACCCGAGAATCCACCACTGGGGCTCTGAGAGTGTCTGCCCAACGTTCAAATCCAAGACTCCTTTGAAACGCTTTCTAAAGTGTCTGCCGTGCTCCTAACACCCTGCTAATGTTATGCACACAGTAGGCTCAAAAATGCTTGTTATGGGAAAGAACAGTGGCTGGAAAACAACTTTTTAGGGCCCTGGCTTAAAAGGACCGAGTCTACAGATGAGCCGTCCTATTGATTATTTCTCCTTCTGAAAAGGAACAAAATCTAGCCCCCCACCCATTTCCCACTTTCTTTAAGCATAAGCTAAAATGATCTCAAATTCTGTGTTTCAAAAAGAACACTTTGGGTTGTGTCTGTGAGCCCGGATTCGCTTGAAACCGTTGTGGGCTTTGTTCTAGACATCCCAAGAGGAGCTGACAATAGTAAACCCGCCAGGCTTTGAGGACATGAATAAACTTGGTGTTGACAAGAGTTCAAAAGCAGAGCTCAAGAGCTGGCCCGAGGCGCGCCTTTGTAATCTGGCCATTCAATGTGGGGATACAGGTGGTCTGGCGGGGCGAGCTCACCTCCCTAGTTAACATGTTAAGCTTCCCCCTGGTAGCTGGGTAGCCGGTCTCCCCTAATCCTTTGCAAGCTAGCAGAATACAAATGGTCTGTGTTTTTAATCATCGAATCCTACAGAGATGAAAAGGTGGCCAGGTAACTTTTCATTTAATGGACTATTAGCAGCCGTAGTAATTATAATAAGAGTTGAATGAAACTGGTGAAAACTCATCACAGCATTCTGACGACCCTCCTAGCACGAAAATATTTCAATAGCTCCTTTTGGGAGCAGAAATCTTCCATTCACAGGATGCACTTCTGTAAGATTAGTAGTTCATTTTGCCTGGGAAAGCTTTTCATTCAGGAAAGTACACCAGCTTCTTCTGAATTCTTAACCAGAAATCTATAAATAGCATCAACGAGTGGAGG